TTAAAGCTGAGTTAATTACAAAATATTTACCAAAAAATCCTATTAATGGTGGGATACCACTCATAGAGAATAATGATAATGATAATGCTAAACTAAGTGTAGGGTTATTAAAGAATTGACCTCTTAATTGTGATATAAATTGTATTGGTGAATATATAGATACAGTTTTATTTACACTTAAAGTATAACCTAATAAAATTAAGATTAAAAAGATGTTTAAACTTGTTATAGAGTATTGAACAATATAGAATATTGTACTTTCTAACCCATTTATACTTTCATTTCCTAAAGCTAAAAGAATTAATCCTACATGTGAGATAGTACTATAAGCTAATAATCGTTTTATTTTATATTGAGCTAATCCTGTAATAGAACCTAATAATAATGATAATAAAGCTGAAATCATTAATAAATTAGGTTCGATTAAGAAATTATTCATGATAAAGAATACTAAAATTGATAATTTAGGCATTATTGTTAACCAAGTTGTTACCATAGTAGGTACTCCATCATATACATCAGGAGCCCATGAATGTAATGGTGCTGCACCAATTTTAAATAATAAACCAATTGTTAAAATTATACAACCTATAGCTAAATAGTTATAAGAATTATTTTCAAATGATTGACCAATAACACTTTGTAAAATATTTAATGATTCAAAATTTGTTAAACCTGTATAAGAATATATTAATGTTGAACCTAATAAAATAAAACAAGAAGAAAGACCACCAAGTAAAAAATATTTTAATCCTGCTGCTACTGCTGATTCTGAATTTCTATTCATAGTAGCTAAGATATATAAAGCAAAACTTTGTAATTCTATAGCTAAAAACATAGTAATTAAATCAGAACTAGATATTAATGATGACATTCCCAGTGTAGTGAATAAAATAATTAGGGGATAATCTTTTAATCCTTCTTTATTTTTAGTAGTTGGTAAAACTTCTTTAACGTTAGATGATAAATTATCCCAATAGTTCCATGTATTCATTGTTGTTTTATTAGAATCAAAATTATTTTCTTTATTTAAAGAAGATAATTCTTTATTAATTTTTTCCCCTTCAGGTGCTATTAATAAAATTATACTACCTATAATTAATATAAGTATTTCTAGGCTTTGTGATAATATTGTTGTTTGAAATAACCCTCCTAATAATCCTACTCCTGTAGATAAAGGTACAACATATAAAGTGTTATACGCTAATAAACTACTGAATAATAATATTAAAAAAGCAATTCTGTGAATTAAGATTGTTGATAAATAAGTAGAAGCTAATGGTATCGTCATTACTAGAGTTATTATTCCTAATAGTAACATTTATCTAAAAAAAATCACAAACAAAGATATTTATATTAAATATAAGTTAGTTAAGGATATTAATATAAACAAAGCTTCCGACCAAAGGCTGGATGCGTCACCCTCTCATCATGTGGGCGAAGCTCTCTCTCTGGGTGTTTTTTAAGGGAGCGCTATAAGTTTTATATTTTAGTTGTTAGATAGACTCAAACCATCACTCTAAAAATAGAAATTATAGGTTCTTTTATTAAACTATAACAGTATTAAGTACGTATGTACTAAAACAGAATAAAGATATAAGATCTTCATTTTACTTAAGAAAAATCACGCTAGTTCTATACACTAATTCCATTGAAAAGTTTTTTAAGTTTTTAAAGTTTACACCAATCAATTTCATTGAAAAATTTAATTACACTAATTCCATTCTTCTTTTTTTTTAACCAACACCCTTATTTTTTTCCTAATTTTTTTGCCCCTAGCTTTCCTTGAGAAAAACTGCCTTATTTTCCTTGATAAAACCTTCCCTTATTTTCCTTAAGAAAAATATGACAGGTAACTAAAAAGGGGTAAATATGTTTCCCACATATGTTTTTATTAAAGAAGAAAAATAACAATTACTACATAGGTTTTTATTAGAGGAAAAAATAATGAAAATAACTTAGGTTTTTATAGAGAAGAAAATCGGGTTAGAAATGTTGGTAAAATGAAAGAAGACCGGACCTTTTCAGAGAACATTTTTGTAAAATTTATGTCTCGGTATAATTAAGAAAAAATATGTCTCAGTATAATTAAGAAAAATTATGTATAACTAAAAAAAATAATTTTTTTCAACATAATTATAGTAAAATATTATGCCAAAGACGTAAATTACGTCGGTTTTATAATAGTCTCAACTGAGTTTTATGATCTCAGTTGGGTTTTATGATCTCAGTCGGGTTTATGATAGTCTTAGCTTTATTTTTGGTTAAATAGATTGGGTAAAGTTTCGTGTGTAAACGAAGCTGGCTATGGCCGGTTATTTATAAAAATAATAATAAATTTTGTCACCATAAAATGGTAAATATTGTAAGAGTTTGAATTTGGCTCAGAAGGAACGTTATCTAGAAGTTTCATACATGCTAGTTGAATGAATATTATATATTCATAGCGACCAGGTGAGTAATAAATAGGAAAGCTACTCAATGACACGGGGGAATCTCGTATATAACTATAGTTTAAAGAAATGTTTTCATCATTGAATGTGCCTATTTTGGATTAGGTAGTTGGTAAGGTAATGGCTTACCAAGCCTATGATCCATAGCCAGTCTGAGAGGAGGGTTGGTCACAATGGCTCTGAAATAATAGCCATACCTAACAAAAAGGTCAGCAGTAAAGAATTTTGGACAATGATCGAAAGATTGATCCAGCTAACTAGAAGAGGAAAAGCATCTTTATGGTATACCTCTAAAATAGGGAGGATAATGACGTTACCTATTTATTAATCCCGACCAATCTCGTGCCAGCAGTCGCGGTAATACGAGAGGGGTTAACGTTCTTCAACATAAATGGGTCTAAAGCGTATGTAGGTTGTATCATCAAACAGTAGTTATGAGATTTCAATAGAAAAATTATAAAATGTAATTGAGATACTAGAGTGTAATTGAAGATAGAGGAATACTAGGAGTAAGGATGAAATCTTTTTATACTTGGTAGACACACTAAAGGCGAAGGCATCTATCTAATTAAACACTGACACTGAGATACTAAAGTATGGGGAGCAAAAAGGATTAGAGACCCTTGTAGTCCATACCCTAAACTATGAGTGGATAAAATTGGTAATTTAAATCAGTTTTAATGTGAAGACTATACCACTCCACCTGGGGAGTACTATCGCAAGATTGAAACCCAAAAGTATTGACGGTGCTGAAGACCAGCAGTGAAGCATGTTATTTAATTCGATAACCCACGCATAACCTTACCACTTCTTGCTATGTACCAATATAATTGGTAACACAGGCGTTGCATGGCTGTCGTCAGCTTGTATCGTAAGACGTTAGATTAATTTCGTTAACAAGCAAAACCCTTGTCTGTAATTATGAAAATTAAAATAAAATTTAATTTAAACTACAGAAGTACTCGATTAATGTTGAGTTAATTAGGACTAAGACAAGCCTTCATGGCCCTTATGGAGTGGGCTATAGACGTGCCACAAAGACCTTTACAATAAGAAGCAAAAATTTGCATTTGAGCTAATCTTCAAAAAAGGTTAATAAACGAATTATAATCTGCAACTCGATTATATGAAGTAGGAATTGCTAGTAATCAAGAATCAGGATGTCTTGGTGAAACATAATATTCGGCGTGTACAAATCGCTCGTCAAGCGGCGGAAGTAGAATGATCTCAAATAGGAAATTTTTATTTATATTATTATTCTACTATTATAGTTACCTTAAATGGTATAAGATTAATAACTATATTTAGGAACTCTTTCTATGTCCATTATTTTACGACTGCTGTTAAGTCGAAACATAGTCGGTGTTCGGGAACGAGCAGCGGAGTAGTTATCAACCAAGGGATTAAAATCCCCCTTTTATTGTTTAAAATAGTCAGGAGGTAATAAAAATTAATCCCTTGGTAGCAAATTTATGAAAAATAACACAAATTTAGCATGGTATTTAACAGGATTTACTGATGCAGAAGGTTTTTTTAATGTTACAATTAGTCCAAAACAGTCAGGAGGGTATCAAGTTAGTTTACGATTTGGTCTTCAATTACATGAAAAAGATTTGCCATTATTAAAAATTTTACAAGAGTATTTTAATGGTATAGGAACTATAGATGTAAGAAAACGTAAAGATAGTAAGAATGCTCTGGCTTATTGGTCAGTAAGAAAATTTGATGATATAATAAATGTCATTATACCGCATTTTAATAAATATCCTTTATTAACTCAGAAAAGAGCAGATTTTTTACTTTTTGAAAAAATAGCTTTATTAATGAATAATAAAGAGCATTTAACTGATGCTGGTTTACATAAAATTGTTGCAATTAAAGCTTCAATGAATTTAGGATTATCAGAAAAATTATCTATATCTTTTCCAGAAATTACACCTTGTGAAAGACCTATTGTTAATATTTTATCTATTCCTGACCCTAATTGGATTATTGGATTTACAGATGGTGATGGTTCATTTTTTGTAAATGTTGTTAAAACAAACAATTTATTAGGACATAAAGTAAAATTAATGTTTAGAATAGCTCAGCATGATCGAGATTTAAATTTAATTAATTTAATTATTAAATATTTAAATTGTGGTACAATACAAAGAAAAGCTTATTCTGGAAGTCAAATACATATAATAGACTTTAATGTGTCAAAATTTAATGATATTTATACTAAAATAATACCATTTTTTGAAGAATATAAATTAAAAAGTAATAAAAATTTAGATTTTTTAAATTTTTGTGAAGTAGCTCATTTAATAAATGATTCTCTTCATCTTACACCTGAAGGGATTGCTAAAATTTTAGCTATAAAAGCTAAAATGAATAGTAATAGATAACTGTATGCAGCATGCAGCATATTTATAATAGTTAGTACGCCGCATCTTATTTCTTTATTAAAAATAAACCTCTATAAACGAGGATGGCAGGTATTAAATATAAGTTTAAGGAGCCATTTAAAAATCCCCCTTCTTTTAATAATAATTTGAGTAAATTGGGAGTATATTTCAATTGGTAGAATAATGGAACTTTTAATCTAGAGATATGGGTTTAATTCCTATTGCTCTTAAAATAATATAAATATAATAATATAAATAGAAAAGGAACGTGCTTTGGAGTAGTTATCAACCAAGGGATTAAAATCCCCCTTTTAGGAACTAATTATATTATTTAGCTAATTTTTCAGAAGACCTTATTTTTCACAAGACTTAAATTTTCACAAAACTTAAATTGTAAGGAGAAGTCATCGGAGGCAGTTTCGGGTCTCGAGAACCTGATATAGCCCTTTTTTAAAGGGCAGCTTTTGTAATTATACACTTGTCTTTTGGGTCTAGAAATTAAAAAGAATGAATTAAATAGGTCTATATGGAGTTAAAGATTAATCATTAATTATATATTCTATCTTATAAGGGTTATTAAAATAAAGATAATTAAAACTTTTACTGTTCAAGTCTATTTTTTTTTAATAAATTTAATTAAAAAGATAAATAGATTAATGTTTGATTTCTTTCTTTTAAATGATCTTTTAAACTTAATTAAAATATTTAATAAATAAAGGATTTTTCATATACAAAAAAAATTATGGTACGATGGCTTTTTTCAACAAATGCTAAAGATATAGGTACTCTATATTTAATTTTTGCGTTATTCTCAGGTATGATCGGTACTGCATTTTCTATGTTAATTAGATTAGAATTAGCGGGACCAGGAATACAATACTTACAAGGTGATCATCAATTATATAATGTAATTGTTACTGCTCATGCTTTTATTATGATTTTCTTCTTGGTTAATAATACGCACATTTTTAATAATTTTTCATTGTTATTTGTAAAAAATAATGACTCAGATATATCTATAAATAATAATTTTTCATCTAGTTCTTCGGTTTACTCTACACAAGAAGATAATTCAAGCGGGTCTAATAAATTACCTAATGATTTACCTAAATTTACTAAAATAGAGGTAAAAGATCCATATAATAATAGAGATATTATTTTAAAGATAGCTAAAAAAGAAAAAGGTATATATATATGGGAATCTTTAGATAGTCATAATAAATATGTAGGTCATTCTATTAATTTATATAATCGTATAAGTTCTTATTTTATGCCTTCTATACTTAAAACTAAGGCTCGTAAAGTTCTTAGATATTTCAATAAATACGGTTTTAATAATATAAAATTAACTATATTAATAGTAGATTATTCTACAAATATAGATGATTTAGTAAAATTAGAACAATATTTTATTGATTCATTAAAATCAAATTTAAATGTTGATTTAGTGGCTAGTAGTTCAGGATATCATGAACCTATGGATCAAGAAATTAGAATTAAATTAAGAAAAGAAAGAGGAATTCTTGTATATGTTTATAACATAACAGATTTTACTTTATTACATATATTTGATTCTAAACAACATATGTATAATTCAATAAATATACATCATAATACTTTAAATGATTGTTTAGATACAGGATCAGTATATTTAGATGAATTTTTCTTTTCTTTAGATGAAATCGAAGAAAGCAATAGAATAAATTTGTTATCATTAGAGGAAATTATAGCTTTAGTTAAAGAAAAAAGGGATAATTATATAGTTAAACATCCTGCAGCTAAAGCAATATTAGCTGAATTTAAAGATGATATAAATCTTAATAAAGAATTTAGTTCATTAAATTCTTTAGCTAAAGCTTTAAAAGGAGATCGATCTGTTATTAGAAGTTATTTAAATGGTACTAAATCAGGATATTATCGAGGTAAATGGAAATTTACTTATATAAATTCTGGTTCAGTCGAAGATACAAACAATAATGAATAATTTATTTATTATTATGGCATGGCCGGATAAAGTTGAAAGACTTTATTTTCTTTTCACTATTTGCTGGAACACCTTAAGAGCATTTTAAACTAGTACTGCAGACTTTCTTAAATGAAAAGCGGTAGAATACAGTGACATTAAAATGATTAGGCAATCAGCAGGAAACCAAAGATAAAAGGGCTTAATTAATTAAGCAATAACACTTTTATTAAGTAGGATCCTCAGAGACTACACGTGAAATACCCTAGTAAATATAAACTTTCCCTTTTTTTATAAGAAGATTTGAAGTTTATATTTAAGGGTAAAGATATAGTCCAGCCATTAACGAAAGTTAATGGGTAAATCGTATGCCAGCTTTAATTGGTGGATTTGGTAATTTCTTAGTACCAGTAATGATTGGTGCTGTAGATATGGCTTTCCCTCGATTAAATAATATTTCATTCTGGTTATTACCTCCAGCGTTAATTTTATTATTAGCTAGTAGTTTTGTAGAAAATGGAGCAGGTACAGGATGGACGGTTTATCCACCTTTAGCTAGCTTACAATCTCATTCTGGTGGTTCTGTTGATTTAGCTATTTTCAGTTTACATCTTGCTGGGATTAGTTCAATGTTAGGTGCTTCTAACTTCATTACTACTATTATTAATATGAGAGCTCCTGGATTAACAATGCATAAATTACCATTGTTCGCTTGGGCGGTATTAATTACAGCAGTATTATTATTATTATCATTACCTGTATTGGCTGGTGCAATTACGATGTTATTAACAGATAGAAACTTTAATACTTCTTTCTATGAACCAGCAGGTGGGGGTGATCCATTATTATACCAACATTTATTCTGGTTCTTTGGACATCCAGAAGTTTATATCTTAATTATCCCTGGATTTGGAATTATTAGTCATGTAATCTCAACATTCTGTGGTAAACCAATCTTTGGTTACATGGGTATGGTATATGCTATGTTATCAATTGGGGTATTAGGATTTATTGTATGGTCTCATCATATGTATTCAGTAGGTCTTGATGTAGATACTCGAGCTTATTTCACTGCTGCTACAATGATTATTGCAGTTCCAACAGGGATTAAAATCTTCTCTTGGTTAGCAACATTAGCTGGTGGATCTATCAGATTTACAACTCCAATGTTATTTGCTTTAGGATTGAAAATAAGTCCCCAATAAATTAATTTATTGGAAAATTGCACTATATGCTGGAAACTCCTTAGAGCTTTAAGTACTAGATTTACAATCAGTAAAAATCTTAAAGATTGGACAATCAGCAGGAAACCAACAAAATAGTTAATTATTTTTAGTAGGATCCTCAGAGACTACACGTGCAACACTTAAATTGTATAAAAATAAGTGATGATATAGTCCTTTCCAACGTGAGAACGTTGGGGGGTAAAACCCAAAACTCTTTTATTTAATTATTATTTATTAATTAAACCCTTCATTTTATTAGAAATATAAAGGTTCAGCTTCATAATAGGGAGGTATATTTAGTAATGGATAGATATAAAGAAGAAGAAGTGAATAGGTTAATTAAACATATAAGTAATGTTATTATTAAAAATTAATATTTTAGTACTAACGATACCATTAGCTTCTACTTATTTATCAACAATCTTAATCAGATTTGCTTTTTTAATATTTCTATCAGGTGCTTTATTATCAGAAATATTAGGAGGGTTATTTCAAACAACCTTATTAACTTTAGATAAATCTATTTTAAATTTAGATTTATTTCTATCCATGTCATTATTGCCTATAATACTATATAATTCACCACGAGTGTTATACATTAACGCTAAAACTGATTATAAAGAGATATTAGCTGAAAATGAGGGTAAAAGCGGAATATACGTTTTTATTAACAAAATAAATGGTAATCAATACGTAGGTAGTGCTGCTGATTTAGGAGATAAAAAATCAGGACGTCTTAATCGATATTATAGACCTAGTTATTTAACAAATAAAAAATTAGGTGCTAGTAAGATAAGAAAAGCTATTTTAAAATATGATTATCATAATTTTATGATAGGAATTCTTGAATATTGTTCTATCGATCAATTAACAGAAAGAGAACAATTTTACATCAGTGTTTTAGCTCCTAAGTATAATATATTAGCTGCTGCTAAATCTAGTTTAGGTTATAAACATTCTTATGATTCTTTAAAGAAAATGAGTCAACCTCGACCAAATTTTTCACCATCAAAGGATCATAAAGAAGCTATAAGACTTGCAAATGCTAATAAAATATTAACTTTAGAGACAAAATCTAAAATTTCAACTACATTAAGTCACCCTATTTATGTTTATACTCCTAATCTATCATTTTTAGTTAAGTATCCTGCAATTACTATAGCTAAATTAGAATTAAAAATATCTCCAACTACGATAAAAAAATATTGTATTTCAGGAGAAATATATAAAAATAAATATAGATTTTCTTATACCCCTTTATCGGACAATAAAAATCAATAGTTATTATAATTCTAATTAAATAATAAACTCCCCCTTTTATAAAATTAAATATGTTAAAAAGAGTTCAAAAAAAAAAGTTATTTTCTTATTCACTATTGGAGGGGTTACTGGTATTGTATTAGCTAATGCTTCAATTGATGTTGCTTTACATGATACTTATTATGTAGTAGCTCATTTCCATTATGTATTATCTTTAGGTGCAGTATATGCGTTATTTGCCGCTTATTATTACTGGGTTCCAGCTAAAATATTAGGTAAACCATATAACGAATTATTAGGACAAATACATTTCTGGTCATTATCAATAGGTGTAAATTTAACATTCATGCCTCAACATTTCTTAGGATTAGCGGGTAAAGGAAATCCTAAATACTTTAATAAAAGATATTTTACTACTAAATTAATTAATTTATCTTCAAACATTATAATAATAATAATGTTATGTTTAATAATTATAACAGATTCTTTATATTTTTCATTTGAAAATATAATAAATTCTTTAGGCTTGCCTGAAGATAATTATATTATATATACAGCTTTAAGTCTTTCTTTAAAACATAAAAAAAACATAATTCAAATTCCATATGGTCCTCATATAAAACCTATGTGGTTAAATGAACCAATAAGATTATATAATAATCCTAATTATGATAAGAACTTAATAGGTTCTGATAATAAAAAAAGATCTATTATATATCAATGGACTAATTTAATTACAGGTAAAATGTATGTAGGAAGTGCTTGGAATGGTTCATCTAGA